TTACATTTGATTTACCCATTACAATAGTCCCTTTACAGTTAACTGCTATCATAAAAATACACTTATATGAAGGTTTAAAATGCTACAAAAGGCACATTTAATGTCTAACAACAAATATTTTAGCAAAATGTATATTTTACTCAGAATTATTGCGCTCCTCTTCGAATGCGCGCCGGCTGTCTCGTTCACTCGCGTAAGTCTCGCCCACTCCTGACAGCAAAATGGATTTATTTGCATGACTTTCTAACATTTACAGATGAAAAATATACCTGTGACATGTCAGTTATGCACTGAGGAAAACACAACGTCTCAAATGCATTAAACAGCACGAATACGCTGTTTGTCATGGTGGATCGATTTGATCCATGATCGACATTAAGGGCTGCTTAAGAATAAGCGTGCACAAATTAGTGAGATTGTGTGAACTTAATTTGTTGTTTATGGAACCGCTTTAGCCCCGATTGATTTGTTAGGTTATTTCAAGTCAGGTTTTGGACTTTAATCCCAGTTTTTCCTCGGGTCTCCGTAGTGTGGTGATTCATCATATTCACGCAGCAGCAGCGGTTATGAGAGAGCGCGCTTGAGAAACAAATACATAGGCTAGATCACAGAATATTGGTCACTTTTTAAATAATAAAAGTACAGTGCATCTACTAGTAATTATATATAAATAAATTGTTTTTTACCGATGCAAATATGTTAGGAACGATGCATCGTGATACAAATGCTGACTTGTAGCCGATACACACTTTTTAAACCGATGCATCTCATCGTTAACTTTTTATGCCGATGCACCGAGCGAATCGGGGAATCTTCCCATCCCTAGTGTAGACAAACTTTGGGGCCGTTCACATGTCGCGCCTAAAAACGCGTGGAAAATGCCAGCCGCCCACTTTCTAACCATAAACGATATATCGTGCAAGCCCTAGTATCACTTGAGTTTTTGAAGTAAAAAGACTGAACTACTTTTTTTTTCTTGTAAAACATAGTCCAATAATCATTTTATTTAATAAAAAAAAATCATTTTAGTGTATCTACACTGAGGTCATGGGTTCGATTCCCAGGAAAATCAAGAACTGTGTACCTTGACTGGAATGTACAGTAAGTTGCTTTGGATAAAATTATCTCCAAATGCATAATGTAACACTATAGCTATGTACATGGAACAAAACAAACATTAAGTTAATATTTACTTGAAAACGTGCTCTTGCTCTCCTTGGCACATGAGAGAAATTAGAGAGCTAGATGTCTAAGAGAAACATTTCTTGAGCACCAAATCAGATTGAGAGAAATAGACTGTACCATTTATTAATCATTCTTTTGAGTCAAGACTTTTCACTGAACCAAAAACAGTCTGATTGATTCAATCACAAATCAGAATCTAATTCTCAAGTTCAACAGCTCACTCAGGGGAAAGACTATCAATGGATTACCTAAATGTTGATATCATATGTGTTCAGAAGACTTCTGCTGTTACCTCTCTTGCGTTTCTGAGAGATGAAACATCCCTTGAAATTAATTGTTTGTTACAGAGTGAAAATAAAAATGGAAAATTATCATTTTTACAAATATTTGAAATTTTTTGATACAAAAACTTTATTAACTTCATAAGCTAACCTCCAGAAACATAATATAAAGATCCGAAAAATTATTTAATTACCCCTCTTATAATATTTTTTCTTCCATATGTCATATGTTCTGGGTTCTGTAGGATTGCAGTGATGTTTCATGGAAAAGATGGTTAAAAATAAAAGTTGTATGCACTTTCATTATGTCAATTATTACCAATTTATTTAGTATGGACCCCTTTTATGATATTCCTATGGTGCATTTGCATCCTTTTTGAAGCTTGAAAGCCTCTGTACACATGGGCACTAATGGAATGGAAAAAAAGAAACCAGTACAATCCTCCTTTTGTGTTCCCTGGAAGAAATAAAGTCAAAGGGGTCTGTAACAACATAAGCTTGAGTAAATTAAGACAGAAGTTTCATTTTTGGCTTAAGTATTCCTTAAAATCTTTCTCTCTGTCCCAAGATGCTACCTTACTTCTAGTGTGTCTGTCCATCTTGGCCTCTCTCCGGCTGTTCTCTCTCTCTCTCGCTCTCTCTGCTTCTGTCTGCCTCGCAGCTTTTCTCTCCTTCCATCTCCGTCTGCATGGTTGTGTGAATGGAAATCATTTCAGGCATCACTACCCATGGCTAATGCTGAAATGCGCTCTCTAAGGTGTCCACAGTGCACATGAATACAGTCATGCCTAAACCCAGATACCACACAGTCTGATACTCTACCCATTCAAACAACCTTGAGGCACATAATGAAAACCTCAATATTTCACAAGAAACACAACCTTCATCATCCTCTTCTCCCCACTTAGTAAGTCATAAGACTTCTGGTCAGTTCTAAGATGTCTGAAGCTGTATTATAGGCATTAAATGGTCAGAGGTCAACTCAGACACAAGGCGGATAAAGGTCCGGTGCATATCTCAAGTGTAATTGCCTTAAGGCCCTTTAAATCATGTCACTGTATGGCACTGTTTGCTGTGCTTCACTGGTCAGAAGTGCTTACAGCAGTTTGATGCTCATAATACTTCCAGTGCACTGAGCAACAGACCACCTCCTGAGACAGTTTCACAAACCACGCAAACTTTCAGAAAACTGGTTCAGATGAAAACAGAGTTCCCTTAAAACTTTAACATGTTCATGTATCTCTGTAAAGTGGAACACATTAAAATAAATACATCCATATAAAACTCAACTAAACCAATATACTGGGCAAAGCATCACAATGAGAAGCATAAGCTCATTAGTTTATCATCTCAGCAATGAATAACTGCGTCAAGCAACACACTTAAAATATCAAAACCACACTTGTCAATAACCTCATTAGTGTAAAACTTTTCTAATGAGAAAAATAATTAAATTCTAAAAATACTTTATTCTTCAATACATTATTCAAGTTAGAACTGAATCATAAGGCGAGTCATTTTTTGTTCAGATTTTAAATGAATCAGGAACTGCATACTTTAGGTTTACGCAACTTAGATCAGTCTGTTTACTAACTGATGATGACAATGATGATACATTTTCAATATAGTTTTTGATGTATAAATAATAATGGTTTTACAAAAAAAAAGATTATTGTTGAACACAGTCCTGTTCAAAGGTTTAAAGTCAGAATTTTTTTTTTAGAAATTAGTACTTCTTTATTGGCAAGAATGCATTTAATTAATCAAATTGACAGAACATTTTTTTACATTGTTACATTGTTTGTTTTTAACTTTCTTTTCATCAGAAAATGTGTGTAAGTATCACCGTTTCCACAAAAATGTTAAGCAGCAAAACTGTTTTCAACATTGATAATAATAGGAACCATTATTAGTTGAGCACCAATAATAACTGATAATTGATTACCAAATCAGCATATTAAAATGTTTTATGAGTGATCATCTGACAATAGAGACTGAAGTAATGACTGCTGATAATTCAGCTTTGCCATCACAGGAATAAATGACCAAAACGACATTTAAAAATATATTTAAACAAAAAAAAAACGGTTATTTAAGATTGTATTATATTATGGGTTTTTATTTTATTTATATTATATTTCACAATAGTACTATTTTAACTTTTTGATCAAATAAATGCAGGCTTGGTGAGCATAAGATACTTAAAATATTAAAAAACCGTATTGACCCCAAATATTTTGAAAAGTAAGACTAAATCGAGTATTTGGATTACTTGATTTAAATATCATCGACACAACAATATACCAAACAAATTACTGTTAAAAAGTTAAATCCTGCTTTAATTGTCTCATCACCTGGCAAGAACTGCAGTTGTGAATGAGAGATACATTTCCCATAACAAGCCATAATCACAGTGTGTTAAAGTTTTGACTGATCTCAAAGCTCCCTAATTATCTTGATCTCCTAATAAAGCACAGGATGACTGCATCATCTCTAACTAAAGAAGAACTTTAGACTGAGACATGGACAGTAACTCAGGGGCTCACCCCAGTCCTTCTCCTAACACACACACACGCACACACACAGACACATGCACTCCTTCTCTCTTTACCAATGGTGTCAGCTGAACACAGATGCCAACTGAGCGCCTGTCTCACTGATCTATTCATTAGACCAACAGCAAATCACTGACTCATTATTCAATCCTGTTAATGGATACATTCTGGAAAACATGAATGTAATAAATAAGCTACTAAAAAAGCAAATGAATGTAAGGTGTTAATGGTGAAATACAAGTGAAAAATTACGTGAGAGGAGGCTGTGTCCATGTGGCTTAAATGCATCAAAAATGGTGAAAATGGACACATTTAGCAAATCAATTATGGTGGCAGGAGTTGCGAGACCTTTCAACACACCTGCAGTGGTGACAGAGGATATGATTTTATACACACACACACACACTCATATAGTATCCTTAAACCTTTATAGTATCCTATTAACACTTTATAACATCTAGAGTGAACCACTATAGATGCAGCTTCTGTGCTGTCTTTGCAATGAGAAAATGGAAACAAATTGGGTTAAATGATGTGGCTGATGGGAGTGTGTCAAACGGGAAAGTTTAATCCATCAGATAGCCTAGTAAACCTCTCAAATATCCTCAAAATTAATATCACGTCGAGTCGCATTTGACTTTATTTTACCAGACATGACTTGAATGAATAAACAACTTAACAGAGAAATGAATCGATCATGTTCCTTCCATCCCCCCAGACGGATTCAAGGAACTACAGTTGCAGATCTTTGAGAGGAGATGAGTGATAAATGGATAAAAGAAATGTGGTCTCAGTTGAATCTTTTTAAATGCTGCTACTGCTTAATGTAACAGAGATCTCTCTCTCTCATCTAATCCGTTTCCAATGGACTTTGATGAGCTCAAGAGAAACAAAGATCAACTAATGACACTCAAACACGCTCTTAGACCATAATAGCATATCATTAATTCTTCAAACCAACATAATACTGCTTACTCACGCAGTTTATTTCAGTTATGTCCTCTCCTCATGTTCCTGCAGACGGCTGTTCACAGCAACAGTTACGCGAGCGTTTTCACTCACGAGCACCGCGCGTGAAATAATTCATTGCTCCTGTCAGGAATTTACCGGACGGTCTCCGTATCACTCAAACGTCAACCCACCATGTCCGTTTAAAATCCAAGCAGAGTGTCACCGGACAGACCCCCGCAGCGAATCCCGCATCAGTCTCTATGTGTGCCTTTTTCTCTGTCGAGGATGGACCGCAAGAGCCCCGGTGATTTTACTTCTTCCTGATTCTTCTTAAGCGCGTAAAGTCCAAGAGCAGGTCAGTTTCCGGACGGTGTTTGATAGTCCTCAAGTAACGGTAAAAATTTGCATGACAGCTTCATTGAAAGTGCAGCCCACCTCAAACAACCCTCATTCAACCTTCTCTGCCACCTTCCCTCTCTCTCTCTCTCTCTCTCTCTCGCGCTCGCTCATGAGGCAATAATCTCATTTGCCTGGTCAGTAAAGGTGAGGGCAGGTAAATCTTGATGCGTGTCCAGCAGTTTCATATAATCTTGAATAATATCAAAAACATGTCCAGGTCATGTTACTGTAAAATATTTGTATTTCATGGTATTTATTTATTTATTTATAAGTATTTTTTATAATAAATCGTGGTATTATGTTGCATTCATTGTTTATAAACAAATGAATAAATAAAATAAATACATTTTTCATAATTATATACCATTTTAGTATTGCAATTTGATTTTTATTCAAATACATACATACATTATTTTAAAACAGAAAAGTAATTATGCATATTAGTATGTAATAAATAAATAATAAAATTAACTAATTAAATCCAAACAGTATGTTTCTCATTAAAGTATAACAGTAATCATCATTCAGAACAAAGACAATTTAGAGATCCCTCCTTCCTTATATATATATAAGGAAGGAAGGATCTCATATATTCACGTACAAAACCCCTGTAACATCACACCACCTGAATGCAGCCCACAACTGCAGAAATGTACTTACACAGAGTATTCACATCCCACAAGAACAGCATTTGTCACATAATACTGATAAACCACAAAAAATATTTGCACTTACTATAATTTTCTATGTAGTGCCATATGCAATTTTACAACTTCATCATGACAATGCAATGGTATAAACCCTTAAACAACTGTATAATGATTTAAATAATTTTACAACTCAAACAATACATTTAAAAAAATGTAGGCCTAGATTTACGATTTATGCAATTGAATTGCATATTAAAATGTGCATACATTTGGATTACACAGTTTTAACATAAAAAAAACTAAACAAATGTGATGCACATATCAGTCTCACAAACTGTAAATGAAACAGGTAAGAAACGGGTAAGATTTTTGTGTAATAGATTAGTACTAATAATATGAATGTGCTTTAAATACACAATAAACAATTTTATATATTCATCAATCACCAGTTAGAATAAACACTTTTTTGAAAATGATTATTTAAAAAAAAATCAAATGTAAATAGTTAATAATAAACTATGCTCTTTTTTTGAGTGCAGAAATTTTACCTGTTTCTTATGTGTCTGACAAATATGAATCACATTAAAATTGGAGTGCAAATGAATGGAAAATGCAATTCAAATATAGAAATCTTAAGATTATAAAATATAAATATTTGAAATCACTCAAAAACTGCTTTTAATTCACTCAAAAATATTCATTTCCATTGTAAGTAAATAGCCACAGTCAGGTGGAGATGATTTTGATCTTAAACCATATAGCTACCATACTGTAACTGTTTGCGGCTTACTGTTACCACGAGGCTCTCTACCACCATCTACGATTCACAGTGCACATCCACACCCTGTGCACAGTAGATCAGCAGGCAGTCCCAGGAGATCCATGTGGCAATCACAAAATGAACTGAGCAGAGGCCTGAAAATAGAAAGTACGTGTGTGAGAGAGGGAAGTGATAGCAGGGTGTGTGTGTGTATGAGATAGAAACCACTTCAAGGTCAACGTAGTCATTTGTAGTCATGGCAGACCAATTAGATGAGTTAGATGTGGATGTTGGAGCAGTTATTCGGTCTGAGACAGAGACTCACCCGCAAATAAAGTGTTTTTGTATACTCACTGTAACCAAACTAATGCAGTCCACGCTATCAGTCTGCAACTGGGCTCTGCGCTGCAGCTTTAATGAAACCCCATGTTGGCACCTACACTGTCAGACCCCCTTCTAAATAAGCAGGTAGCCTGGAAACAGATGCAGGAAATAGATCAAAACAAGGGGCACTAAACTACATATGTCTTGAAGCCAGCAAACAACGTAAAAATGAAAATCTTGTTCTGAGTGATCTTGTGCTCCCTCAGTCATATTATTTGGGAAATGTAAGCTGAAGCAAAGTGATGCCCTGCTCTCAAAAATAACCCCCCCGCACACGCAGGAAACACACTACAGCTGCTCTCTCATGCCTCAGCAAGCTCAGGATCTAATGTTCTCAATATAGAAGCAGAACAAAATCTGTGCTAGCATGCAGTACATCTACACATTTTTAAAACCCTGATGCTAGCAGCAGAGACATCCAGGACATTTCATATCAATCCAAGTCCAATCATCTGATATTTATGACATTGACAAGAGTATACCACAGTTGCACAATTGTGGGTGTACAAAACAGGGTTGGAACCACTACAAACAGCCAATAAAATTAACATTCATATATATTTTATGATATACATACACTGTAAAAACGAAATGGTGTAGACACTATTTTCACTAAGCAATTACTAGGAATAACTACAAAGAAAAAATTACTAAAAGGAAACGGCAAGTGACACATTTAATTATTAAATCAAACGTGAAATTTTTAAGATAATTTGTAAAACATACTCAAATTATCTTCGTTTTATTTACAACTTAAAAAAAATTATTATTTTTTATAAACATTTTAATGACATAAAAGATTTATATTTCGAATAAATATTTTTACAGAAATATTAAGCAGCACAACTGTTTTTACCATTGATAATATCAGGAATTGTTTCTTGAGCACCAAATCAGCTTAGAATGATTTCTGAAAGATCATGTGACACTGAAGACTGGAGTAATGATGCTGAAAATTCAGCTTTGCATCACAGGATATCTTTACATCATAGAGCCATATGAGATTATCATTATAAGCTCTAGTATTTTTCTTCTCTGTCTCCTGTTAACACACATCAACATTACTAATGATAGCGTTACTGAGAGTTCTTGCTCTGTGCTTTGCTTTGGCTGAGCCAAGTTTAATCACGCTGCTACATCCCCCTAGGGGGCAAATTTAGATACACAACTGGGTTAGAATAGAGAGAGAAAGCTGCATAATTCTTCTTTCTAAGGCCATAAGGCATCACGTGAGAGGTCAGAGCAGAGCACAGAAGTCTTTTGGGCATGACTGAATAACTCAATAGAATCACATTCTGTATGTTATAGAGTGAATAAAAGTCAGGTATCAGGCCTAGCAATTCATCATGGTCAGTAACATTGTGCAATATGATTCAGCCATAAACACACTAGCATTGATCCAAAAACCTAGTGAGATAACTGCCTTCTTTAAGGAGGTCTATAACTTCTGGAGAAAGCTACAGAATCTGTTTGGGGCCATTCACAAATAACGCATTTTTGCTTTTAAAAATGTAAGACAAGTTTTTTTTAAAAGTCGAACTTCTATTAACTTCAGAACCGTGTTTTTTTTTAGAACACCGCACAATGGTCAAAGATGTCCATCTAGTATGTGTTTATGTAGAAAAACAATGGAAAAGTAGCACAGTGGAATGGAAAAACATTTTCTGTGTGAACGGCCCCTTAGAGTTCCATTCATCTCAATGGCAGGCTCTCAACAGGATGCTTTGGACATATGCGATTTGAAATCAATCATACTGTCTCATGGACTGTTCTAGACAAAAGTTTAGGGATGGTAAAAAAAATTTATATGAAAAAAAAATAATAATCTTTTGCTCACCAATACTGCATTTATTTGACACAAAATGTAGTAAAACAGTAATATTATTAAATATTATTATAATTTAAAATAACTGTTTTCTATTTAAATGTATTTTAAAATGTAACTTATTCCTGTGATGGCAAAGCTGAATTTTGAGCAGCAATGTTGAAAACAGGTGTGCTGCTTAATATATATATATTTTTTTTTGTTGTGAAAACTGTGATATATTTTTTATGATGCTCTGATCAATAGAAAGAACAGCATTTATTTAAAACTGAAATCCTCTGTAACATTATAAATGTCTTCACTGTCACTGTTGATCAATATAATGCATCTGTACTGAATAAAACTAATAATTTATTAGTGTGTGTGTGTATATATATATATATATATATATATATATAAATATTTTACTTCCCCCAAACCTCTCAAAGGTAATGAAAAATTATACATATGGTGCTCGCAAATTATAATATAATCAAGTCAAAATACATCACTACTTTTAAGTGTTGTCAAGGGAGCAAGATGCTCTTTGCCTACTTGCCCTAGACAGCATTAATCTGGCAAGATGGCGAATGTGAGGAATGCAGAGCATAAATATACTTTAAATACATTAAATATATTCAAGAAAAGTATGAATAGAAATTAGTTCCATGTACAAATGGAACAGAATTTTTCACCCACGTAATCTAAATCACATAATCTTCCCTGCATTCCTCTTACTAGTCGCCACATTCTGCACATATGCATAAAGTTGAACTCTGCCAACGGTCGCTGTTGTACATGTTACCTCAAATTGTCAGCAATAATTGAAAATAAATGACTTCTGGTTGCTTTGTTACTCTGAATCTCAGTCAGTGAATGAAGTCGCCTATGTAGACAGAAGTCTAAGTTTTGGAACAGACTGACAGAGCTCGGCTGGAAAAGTAAGCTACAACTATAAACATGACAGCGGGCATTTCTTATTGTCATCAATAAACTAGCTGTACTGTCATGTGTATAGCAATACACAGAGTATAAATTAATCATTGTGAAAAATAAAATTGAGCGCCTGCTCAGAACTGTTGTATCAGCACAGCTCCACTGCAAACCTCGCGCTCACTGTATGAATTCTCTAATGAGCACATATCAGCTATTTGTTGAACAAGCTGATATAAAATTCTGCAATCAGCTACGGAATATCACATTCATTTCCAGAATCTTCCTCATGTTGCCCATGACCTCTGCTAGATTTCTCAGAGGTTGCTGTTGAATTGGAATTCTTATTAATCCAACAAGTAGCTTTGGGAAGCCATAAAGCAAAACAGAGTCATTATCTAGTTCAGTAGCACTCCAGAGAGAAGCAGCACTGAGTGTGTACTAATAATTAGCAGGAACGAAGCATTTACAAACAAAGTCTCATTAATAGTGAGCGTTGCAGGCATCTCCTTCAAGCCCTGTGGAGCT